GTGTGCTCGCCAGACAGACAGAGAGAGACATAGAGACAGAAAGCGAGAAATCAACCCCCGGGGGGATGGTCACGCCGTAATCCCTTCTCCTCCATTCTCCTCCCGGGATCTTGGGCTCACACGCACACGCGCCCGGCGTGAGTTTTAAGCCACCGGGTCCAGGACGCGAACCGCGGTCGACTACGTGGGAGTCCAGAGACATAGCCATTACGCTAACTGCTGGTTCCCATAGAGGGAGAAAGGGTCTTGACTCTTTTACTTAATGTTGACCCTTTCTGAAATAACTTCTTTTTTTTTGAAATAACTTCTGACAGAACAAGCTTATTCACTTGATCATGCTAGCCATCTATTTTTTTTTTAAAGTTTGCTACAAATTGTGGGTGCTTGCCAGAGAGAGAGACAGAGAGATAGAGAGGAAAAGTATGAAAACACTCCTTCCCTCTCACCCCAGCTCTCCCGATGGGGATGTCCACACCTCAATTCCTTCTATTCCATTCTCCTCTTGGGATTCTGGGCATGCACACAAATGCACCTGCTGTGTTTTTCAGCTGCTGGGTCTGGGACTCCAACCACACAGGTTGCATGTGGGATCCAGCACCTTAACCACCACACTAACCATCTTAACTATACTACTGAGATCCCAACATGTAGTACGTCACATTTTGGGTTGGATCTACTACTCCCTAATTCTGGGCTTCTCCCTCTTTTTGGAACATTTATTTCTTATGTCTTAATATTACTTACCCTATTTAAATATGGTATTTGTAATATTTCAGCTCAATCACTGTATTGCAGTCATGTACAGTAGTCCCTCCTTGTGCATGGGGAACACATTCCAAGAGCCCCATGGATGCCCTGAACCATAGGTCATACTGAACCCTATGCATATGTTTTTCCTGTACGTACATACATGATAAAGTTTTATTTTATAAATTAGGCACAGTAAGAGATGAACAGTAACAATAATAAAATAGGTCAATTATAGTGCTATGCTATAATGAAAGTTATGTGAATGCAGTTTTTTTCTCCTTCTCTCGGAATGTCCTAACGTACTGTACTTGTCCTTTTTGTGATGACGACACAATGCTGTGTGAGGAGACACAGTGAGGTGAATGACATAGGCATTGTGACACAGCAGTAGATACTACTGACCTTCAGACTATGTCAGGAGGAAGGTCATCTACTTTGGGTGATTTTGGCTTAATAGTGAGCCATGACAGTATTTTCAGAATGTGGTTAACCGTGAGTAACTGAAACCACAGAAAGCAAAACCATGGATAAAGGGGGCTACTGTATTATGGATAATTAAATGAAATCCATGCTATAATTTTCCCTTTAATTATGAACTTATTCATAATTACATTTTTAAAAAAACATTTTTTAGAGGTTTTTACTGTGGGGCTTGTGCGTTCGCCAGAGAGACAGAAAGAGAGACAAAAAGTGAGAAATCACCCTTCAAGGAGGATGACTGTGATGCAGTCCCTTCTCCTTTATTACCCTCTTGGGATTTTGGGCACACACACACACACACACACACACACACACACACATGTGCCTGGTGTGTTTCAAGCCTCCAGGTCTAGGACTCACCATGGTCCGCCACGTGGGAATCCAGTGCCTTAACCACCAAGTCATCTACTGGCCCCCCTGATTGTCATATCCTAGCTCCTTCTTGTCTATTTCCATTTGGATTTAGTAGTAGAACTTTGTGCTTTACCCTGATGCCGAGTTGTTAGCATACATGTGGCTTAATCCAGGATTACACCTGGGTTCCACTAAACTCCCAGAGCAGGTAAGAGCTGCTATCCTCTTGCACTTATCTATGGTTCCCCCAACATAGCATTTGTCAGGCATATTGTGTCCTTTACCATCTGAGCAGTTACAGAGAATCAGCTCTATTCAGCCCATGAAACTACAACTAATGTATTACCATATGTCGAGGCAGAGTACTTTGGACAGTTGACTATCTAGGAGGAAAAACAGCCACATGGGGACCAGTGGACGGTATAGTGGTTACATAACTGGGCTTCCATGTAGTCGACTGCAGTTGAAGTTCCAGACCAACAGCTTAAACTCATGCTGGGCATGGTTGGCTGGTGGCGTGGTGGTTAAGGGTGATGGACTCCCACATGACTGACTGTGGTTCGAGTCCTGGATGTGGCAGCTTGCATTCTTATTACCCCCCTTCCATCCTTCTCTGGTCAAATTAAAATAAGTAAGTAAATAAATAAAGTTAAATAAAATAATTATAAAAAAAAGAATAAAACTCACGCTGGGCGCATGTGTGTGCGTGCCCAAGATCCTGAGAGGAGAATGGAGGAGAAGGGATTGCGGTGTGGCCATTCCCCCTAGGAGGTGATTTCTCATGTTTTGTTGCTCTATCCCTCTGGTGAACACGTTTACCCTGTAACAAAAATCTCTCCTAAAAACAGAAAAAAATAAAACAAAAAACAAACAGCCACACGTGTTTTAAATTTAAACCTAGATTTGCAAAAATAAATAATCACATGAAAGGCTTTTTTTCCTTCCTAAGGAAAGACAGAACAGAGCCAATGATTTTGGCACAGGTCTGTGTATGTAGCTTGTGAAGGAAACATAAAAGGATGCAGTTTATTGAAAAAAGCTTTCCTGAGGAGGTGTCAGGGCCTTGGACTCAATCCATTAGATAACTGTAACTCACTGTCAGTGCTAAGAGATAAAGAGTGACAACAGCATGGCCAGAATGAGCACTGGAAAAAATGGCAACAGCATCAGCAGAGTGGAAGGGAGAGAGAATGTGGGTTTGGGTTGATTCCATGGCTACGTGGATGGGAGGGGGCTGGTAGGAGTAGTGCCTGGGGATTTCCACTGTATTCTGGGGTTATGAGGACTGGGGCTGTCTAACTGCATTTGAGGACCTTGGAGATTGTGTGAGTCCTTCCTCAGCCCTCCTGCTTTTGGAGGAGTGGGCTTTCAGGGTATCTACGCTTGTTTTAATTAAGCATTTCTAAGGAAAGCAGGATATGAATGAAGAAATAGTAATGCAATCCTTGGAAGATTTGCATCTCAGTAAAATCAGCTGGCTCTTAGACCACAAATGGCTCATTTGCCATGCTGGGGAAAAATAAAGGAGAGGTTCTTCCTAAGCTGGACACTTGTGCCTGCTTATACATTTCACCATTTCTCCTGCCCCCACCATCAGCCACAACTGCAGAGTCCTCCATGAGTAAAGATGTCTCAGGTGTTCTATTTATTTGTTGTTATTTCCTCCGCTATTTTAAATTTTATAGGAATCATTATGAGTCTGTTTATTTCAGTGGTTAGCTACAGAACTTGGGTCAAAAGCCACAGAATCTCTTCTTCTGATAGAATCCTGTTCAGCTTGGGCATCACCAGATTTCTTATGGTAGTATTGTTTCTACTGAACATCATCTACCTCAGCTCTCCACATGTTGAAAGGTCAGTCTACCTGTCTACTTTTCTACTGTTGTGTTGGATGTTTCTGGACTCTAGCAGTCTCTGGTTTGTGACTTTGCTCAACAGCTTGTACTGTGTGAAGATTACCAGCTTCCAACACTGGGTGTTTCTCTCGCTGAAGCGGAATATCTTCTCCCAAACTCCCAGGCTGCTGCTGGCCTGTGTGCTGATTTCTGCCTTTACCACTCTCCTGTATGTGGTACTTAGCCAGATGTCATCTTTTTCTGAATTTGTGAGCAGGAGAAATGGCACATCATTTGACGTCAATGAGAGCATCTTGTCTTTGGTGGCTTCTTTGGTCTTGAGCTCGTTTCTTCAGTTCGTCATTAATGTAACTTCTGCTTCCTTGTTAATACATTCCTTGAGAAGACATATACGGACGATGCAGAGAAATGCCACTGGATTTTGGAATCCCCAGACTGAAGCTCATGTAGGGGCTATGAAGCTGATGATCTATTTCCTTATCCTCTACATCCCGTATTCAGTTGCTACTCTGATCCATTATCTCCCTTCTTTTACGGGGATGAATTTGGGAACCAAAGCCATTTGTTTTTTTATTGCCACCATTTACCCTCCTGGGCATTCTGTTCTTATTATTCTCTCACATCCTAAACTGAAAACAAAAATGAAGAAGATTATTTGTTTCAACAAATAACGGAATTTCAGTAGTAAACATTTGCTGGAGTCACCTCATGGTATGGGAACAAGATTTTCTGCTCGCAGTTTTCTCAAGGGTCTGAGGAATTTGTTTTTGTGACTGCTGATCCCACATTCTAGGCTGTTGAGTGCCTAGTTTTCAATTAACTCTACAACTTTTTGTTGTTGTTGTTGTTTCCCCTGCTAATGTTTTAAAATGAGGCACATTCTCTGAGGAACTTGTTTGAGGTGTTGCTTACCATGTATTTTGCATGGCCATTAGGTCCCTGGGTAATGGAAACTACCACATTATCCATTGGCAACTGAAGTATAATGGGGAGTTCCCCCAAATTAAAGAATACATTGTGGTGCACACGATTAGTTATCTTTTAGCTGAGAAGCCCTGGGTAAGGCTCAGCAAAGGGTATATGGTGTTTGGGAGCCATTAGATTGGCTTAAAGCATAGCAAGAGGGCACAAAGAAAAAAAAAGGAAAAAAAAAGATGTTTCAGAAAGAAAAGGAAGGAAAGAGGAAGTTAAAAAGATAGAAGTGTACATTGTGGAACATGACAGAAAAAGCTGGGGCCAGCAGGTGGCATAGTGGGTAAGGCTCTGGACACCTACATAGTCAACTACAGATTAAGTCCCTGACCCTATAGCTTGAAAATTATGCCAGGTGCATGTCCATGTGAACCCAAACCCCAAGAAACTAGTGGGGAAAAGGATTGCAGTGAGGCCATCCCCCCGCCGGGGGGCTGATTTCTGACTTTCCTTCTCTCTGTCTATCTCTCCTCAGCAAGTGCAAAAACCTTAACAAGAAGTGTCCTCACACTTGCTAGGTGACAGTAACTGAACTGTTACTATCAAGAACCCTAGGACTGTATTTCTAGGCCGGTGTTGGAAAGGAGGAATGCATCAGAATTGATAGGTGAAGAGAAGCGGTTATAATTTAAAAAGCCAAATCCAGAATGGTTTCAAAGATCTAGAAATCCAAGGAGCTAGCCTAAGCTCAAATGCTAATGTCAAGTAATGAAATCGGCACCATTTGATTACAAAGTATATGATGTCAAAGTCATTGATGGAAAGACAAGAGGAGTCATTTTATTTGTTGTGGAAGCACTTGACTTTTGGTGAATTGTTTTATCTGTTTATGCAGTTACGCACAGCACAGTTCTTCTTCAGGAGAATTTAATTTCTCGAGTTGGGACAGCACGACTATGGTTGCAGAGGAACAGGAATCTGAAGATAGGATGTTGACAAGTTTTGGAATGGGAATTGGGGAATAACTTACATTTATGTATTTTTTGGTGTTTATAAAATACTTCTGTAATATTTACACATCTCAAAATAAGTAAATCTTCATATTAAACAAATTATCTGACTTTCTCCACTTTGGGCACCAGAATTTTGACTGTAATATTTAGTAAAGATTGTGTAGGTCAATATTTTATACTATGAAATCTGGAGGTATTTATCATGTTAGAATCTTTTATTTTTTTGGAGAGATTTTTGCTATAGGGCATGTGCGCTCACCAGACAGACAGAGACAGAAAGACAGAAAGAGAGAAATGACTCCCCCAGGGGGATAGCCACGCCACAATCCCTTCTCCTCCATTCTCCTCTCAGGATCTTGGGCACGCATGCACACGCACCTGACATGAGTTTAAATCACCGGTTCTGGGACTTGAACTGCGGTTGACTACATGGGAGTCCAGCGACATAGCCATTACACTAACTGTTGGTTCCTATCATGTTAGAATCTTAAGATTAAGACATAAAAGGATTGCTTAGAGAGATAAAATGTACACTAGGTCATAAGAACTCTAAATGAGTGGCCAAAACCCCATGGGTCACTTGATATCTATTCTCTTCTTCCTTCTGTAATAATCAAATGGTTAGCTGTCCAGAATTTCGGCAGTCAGTTGTGGTTTTCTTGTATATATAGGTATTGCTGTGGGATTAAATTCAGCCAACAGAGTGTGAGCAGAAGTGACATATATAATTTCTAGGTGCCTTCTTTCCCTTCTTCTTCTTTCTTCCTTCCCAGGAGCTGGGATAAAGATGTAATAATTGACCACCTCGGACCGTGCACATGAAGGAAATACCTGGGGACAGTGGAGTGATTTTCTGTTCTAGAGTCGGATCCATGACTCCTGAAGCTGTGGGCTGACCACACCTGCTCCAGACTGCTCATGCCTGAACTCTTGGACTGTTCATGAGACATAGACATTCCATTCTTTTAGGAACTGGGTTTTTTTTTTTTTTGTCTCTTTACCTCAATCAAATAACTTACGCTATATCATAAATATATACAATAATATATTTCCTTATAACAAAATAGTATGTAATTATTTCCCATCCTATAGTCAAAGTACATTTTTATATACCCTGCTAAGGTGAAATCAAAATAAAAACATGTGTATGTGGTATGACACCAGTATGAATGTGTATGTATGAAGTAAAGTATAAAAGGAAATATAAAAACACAAATAACGATAATTTTTAGGTAAGAGGTTTTGAGTAATTTTTTTCTTAGCGTTTCCAAATTTTCTATAATAGACATGTAGTTCTTATAGTTAATTTGTAGTCAGGAAAGACATATACTTTAAAATATGTACAGTGTGTTCAATCTACTTATCCATCTTTCTGTCTATTCACCCATCCACCCATCTTTCTACCTAAATGACAGATAGAGGTTCTGATGTCAACATCCAGTCTTTCCTCACTAAGAAAAGTAATGCAGAGACTGCCTTCTGATTTTCTAGATTCTTTTTCTTGTATTGGCAACATTTTACTAATTCATTTCTTGGTCGTTCTACGTCGTCTTCATTCTTTTCCTCACTGGGAGGGACTCTTTCCCCACTATATCATAGGGTAACTGGGAAGACATAGGCACCGAGTGAAATCATGTCTGTTTAAACAGCTCTGTTTTGCAGGACAAGAAGAAAATACTCAAAATGATTTCTGAAGTAGCTTATGTCCAGTCTGGAAACCAACCCAGGGCTGCTGATGTACATATACGGAGAGGGGCGGGGCTATGAAAATCTGGTGGGTGCTTAGTTTCCCTAGCTCAAGTGAATGTCATGGTGTCACAAAGACTCTGAGCTTTTAGGTCCAGAAGTGTTATCATATGTGTGTGTGTGTATACACATGTATCTATAAAATAATTATATAAACTATATAATTATTATAAAAAGATTATATAAAATATATAAATTTATTATTATTGACACATTGAATAATAAATGTGCCTACTTATGGGCTACACTGATTTTTCAGTACAGAGATACAATTAAGAGAAGAAATAAATATATTTCTCAGATAAAATCTCTCCTAATTCCCACCTATGCCTGTACATTTTTGACTACTGTGTATTTTTGAAGGCTTGGGTTAATCAGTTTCTCATCTTTACTTGAGCTTTCCAGAGATTCTGGAATTGTGCAGAACTTATATGTGTTATTATTAGAGTAATTAGAGTAATTAACATGTTTCTCATCACAAACATCTATTTTTCTTGAGCTAATCTGAGCTAGGCAATAAATCATTGTTAATGATCATCACCTTGCTGTACTGTATAACACTGAACTTGTTCTTCTTACATATCTGCAATTGTGTATCTAGTAATCAACATCTTTTTATCTCTTCCTTACCTTTACCCTTCCCAGACCATAGAGTATTCTACTACATGAGATCTACTTTTAAATGAAAATGTAGTATCATTAAAGATGTTATTTTAAAACTAGCAAATGCTGCTATTTGGGAAGGAATAGGCCAATAGAAAGATATAATTTCTTTAAGAAGTAAATACCATTCTTAAAAATATTAAGGATTTTGAAAGTTTCTTTATGTTGATTAAATTTTACTTAAATGTGTACCTTTGGCTTTCCTTTACCCTTATTAACAACATTCCATTTATGAACTATTTTCAGTTGTTTAAAAAAGAAAGAAAGAAGAAAGAAAGAATTACTAGGAAGGAAATACTAGTTTTTTTATAGCATGAACTGAATGTAACTTTCAAGGTAGCTCAAATGCCAAAGCTTTCCAGTGAAATTGAAACTTAATAAATACATTTAAAATAATTTAAAAAATGCTCTTTTTTAAAGGACTATTTTTATTTAACTTATTATAATCATCATTTTTAAATTTTTAAATTTTATTTTATTTTACGTTTTTAAGTTTGAGAGAAAGAGAGTGAGGGAAAGTGAGAAAGCAAGCCACCAGGTTTGGGACTTGAACTGCGGTCATCCATGTGGGAATCCAGTACCCTCAACCACTATGCTACCTGCCAACCCCAAAATAATACACTTTCTTACAAGTTAAAGCTAGAGATGGATCCTTTAATCTAACCTACTGGTTCCCAAAGAGGGCTGGGGAGGTAAGTTTGACTCAGTTGGGAATTTTACTTCAAATTTTGTATGCCCTGCCTCCCATTCCTTCTGGATTGGGGAGTAGAAAGGTAAAGCAAAGTTCAATAAAACTCCCTAGGGAGTTGGATATTATAGTCTGAGAGAAGGTGCAGATACATGTTTCTTCTTTCCCCTTAAGAGAACAGCTTATGGCCAGTTTTATTCCATGAGGAAAATTAGAAAGAAACTCCATGTGTGTATGAGAATTTGCCTGGCATAGAAATTGACAAGGCAGTGATATGTGTTAATGGGGTAGGGGGGCGGGGGAATAAGGACAGCAGCAGGAGGAGGGGCACCAGCGTCTGTACTCTCTCCTGTCTAAGCCTGATAGGGTGGAGGTGTGAGGTCAGTTGGGGGCTGGCAAGCACGTTGTTCTGGTTGATGGTTGTGTGGGTATACAGGGTCAGGGAAGGGGGTACCTGTAACCCTGCCTTGGGTCAACAGGAAGGAGCAAGAGGCCTTGGGCATAACTGGGTGTGTGTACAGCTTGCTTGCAAATGAGATATCTAAACAGAGGTATGTGCTTGGTTTGGTAACATTTCTGACCTACCTGAAATATGGGAAAATTATTCATCTTCAGTTTTTCACAGTTGAGACAAGACTATGGTTATAAT